ACAGAATTGATTAAGCATTGAGACAAAGAGGGAGGAAAGAATTGTGCTGAATAGCAGCAGGTGTGCTTTGCCTTCAGGGACATGCAGCTTAGCTTGGTGTTTAGATCCCTATTTGTAAAATGGACAAAGTTGCCTGGAAGACATTGTCCAGCAAGCATAGGAGTAGGAAAGGAGATGGACTAGTCATGTAGAGAAAGCAAAGGTGAAAAGACAGGCAAGTCTGAGCATGCACCCAAGGGTTTTTATAAATGCATAGGATCCTAGATCTGGAACTAGGCAAAAAACCTTGGGAACCATCCAGCCCAGCCCCCAAATTTTATAGATGAGGAGAGTGAGGGTCAGAGAGGTCATAAGATCATAGATTTACATCTGAAAGAGATCTCAGAGAATAATGAGCCCAACTCCTATCTTTTAGGAAACTGAGGTCCATGAAAGTAAGGAGACTTACAGCTAGTAGGGCCCTTAAAAACCAATGAGTCCAGGACAGCTAGGTGGTGCAGTGGATAGAGCACCGGCCCCAGACTCAAGAGGACCCGAGTTCAAATCCGGCCTCAGACACAAAACATTCACTAGCTGTGTGACCCTGGGCAAGTCACTTAACCCCATTGCCTAGCCAAAAAAACCAAAAAACAAAAAAACCCAATCAGTCCAATCCTCTCATTTTACAGATGAGAAAACTGGGGTCCAGAGATATGAGATAACATTATATAGATCAACAGCTGAAAGGCACTGCAAAAGCCATCTGCCCTTCAGAAGAGGGAACTGAGGCCCCAGAAGGGAAAATGACTTGCCTAAGGTCACACAAGTGGGTAGAGTTAAAATTTGAAGCCAGTTTCTTTGATTCCAGAGCCAGTGTTCTCCTGACTACAGCACAATGCCGCTATTAGCATTGGGTGGATAATCTAAGGAAGATGTCAGCCAATATAGGGGCAATGTCGTGCAGTGATAAGATCACTGGCTCTGGAGGCAAATGATCCAGCTCTAACATTGCCTACCTGAGTGACTTTGGGCAAATCCCTTCACCTCCAGGGCTGCAGTTTCTTTAACTTATAAAATGAGAAAAAAAAACCCCTCACTATTAAAAGCCATATGCAGGGGCAGCCAGGTGGAGCAGTGGATAGAGCACCGGCCCTCAAGTCAGGAGGACCTGAGTTCAAATCCGGCCTCAGACCAAATACTTGACACTTACTAGCTGTGTGACCCTAGGCAAGTCACTTAACCCCAATTGCCTAAAAAATGCAAAAACAATGGTTCAAATCATCAATAATGAGAAAAATCCAAATTAAAGCAACTCTGAGGTTCTACCTCATACCCATCAGACTATCAAAGCCAACAAAAAGGAAAATGACAATTGCTGGAGGGGCTGTGGGAAACCAGTTACCCTTTTGTTCAAGCCATTATGGAAAGCAATTTGGAATTATGCCTCAAAAGTCATTAAACTGTGTATTCCTTTGACCCGGAGATACCAAAACTAGGCCTATACCTCAAAGAGATAAAAAAAAAAAGAGGAAAAGGATCCATTTGTGCAAAAATATTTATAGCAAGGGTTTTTTTGGAAAGGCAAAGAACTGGAAACTAAGAGGGAGAAGGTTGAATCACCTATGGTATATCAATGTAATGGAATACTATTGTTCCATAAAAAATGATTAAAGGGAGGGTTTCAGAGAAACCCAGGAAGATTAGTATGAACAGATTAACAGAAGTGAGCAGAACCAGGAAACAATTTATACAACAACACCACTGTAAAGACAAACATCTTTGAAAGACCTGAGGATTCTGATCAATGAAATGACCACCCATGATGCTAGAGGGCTGAAGATGATGCATGCCACCCGGCTCCTGACAAAAGTGATGGACTCAAGATGCAGAATGAGACTCCCCTTTTTTGTAGATGGCCAATGTGGGAATTTGTTTTGCTTGCTTATTCATGTTTGTTACAAGGGTTTTCTTTTTTTTTTTTTTTACAGTGGGGCGGGGGAAAGGGGAGGAAGAAAAACATATTAATTGAAAAAATATTTTTCACAAAATGAAGGGGTTGGATGAGATAAACTCTAAGCTGTCTTTCAGTTTTAATCTATAGTTGCAAATATTTCATACTATTCTAGCCAGTAGCATCCTATAAGGTAGACAGGATAAGTTTGATTGTCTCCATTTTACACATGAGCAAACTGAGGCTTAGAGAAGTGACTTACCCAGGGTCACACAACTAGTAAGTTCTGATGTAATGATCATGAGCTAACAACAACAGTAATAATGATAATGAAAATTTTAGCCAACATTGACATAGTGCTTCACAGTTGGTTCAGCTCTTTACATATTCCATATATTATCTCATTTAATCCTTAACACAACTGTGTAAGCCAAGTGTTATTATTATCCCCATTTGACAGATGAAGGAATCAGGCCCAGAGAGGTGACTCACGATGCTAATAAGCATCCAAGCTGGAACTCAAATCCAAGCCCTGTGTCCCCACTCTAGGGTTCTTGCTATCCCCCACAGTGCCAATGACTTTCTAGGGGAATGCAGAGAAGACGCTACCTTTCTCCAGCCTGCTGGCTTCCCCACCAGGCAAAGAGGGTTGGTTCACCCCACTTTTTTCTTAGCACTTGGCAGTCTCCTGAGCAGGGCTGCTAGGGGAGAAGCGGAGAAGCAAAGGGATGAGGAAGAAAGAAGCTCTGTCCACACACTGTGTGAGGATGAAATACAAATAGGGCCGGAAGAACCAAGATAAACAAGAGTGGTTTGTTCACACACAGGAAGATGATCAAAGGGTCAGGGTCCTGGTTTCTGAAGGAGGACCAAAGGATCGAATCATGGACACCTGGATTTAAGACTGGCAGGGGATGGCTGGTGTATGTCAATATTTGAAGGCAGTCAGTCCCGAGGAAGGTATAGACTCTTTGAGGCCCATGCCAGAAGGCTCGGGGTGGGTGTGACTGAGTCAGGGGAAAGTCTCAGGAGCATGTGCTGCCTACAGTAATGGCACCAAGAGAAGCTGGCAGGTCTGAGAGGAAGAAGGAAGTCCCGGGTTGGAATGTTGGCCCTATCACCTTGGGCAAGGCACTTGGACTGACATCTGCCTCCTCTGTAAAGTGAGTTGAACTTGATGGTCTCTGAGGCACCATCCAGTTTGAGGGCTATGACCCTATCATCTATGACCATGACCTCATGTCAGTGGCCTTACAGTGGGAAGAGCCCTGAGCTGGGAGTCACAGGGTTTGAGTCTCCCCTCTGTGGACGGGTACTAAGTGAGCAAGGGCTCAACCTCATAGGATCAGAGTTTAAACCTGATCTACAGAAAGAATAGAAATATTCTGTAGAAATGTGAAGCATTATTGCTCATAAAGGAAACACAGTGGTGTAGTAGATAATACGCTGGCCTTAGAGTCAGAAAGATCTGGGTTCAAATCCTGCCTCTATTACTGAGTGACCTAGGCAAATCACTTAACTGTTGTGCCTCAGTTTCCTCAGTTTTCTTAGAGGAGTTGGACTGGCTGGCCGCTAAGATCCCTTTTAATTCAAACTCTATGATCCTCTCTGGGTAAGTCCCTTAACCTCTCTCTGCCTCGCTTTCCTCACCTGTCAAATGAAGGGGTTGGAATTGGTGATTTCTAAGGTGTCTTCAAGCTCTAAATCCATGATCCTATGAACTAGGAGGATCAGGACGGCTTTCTATAAGAAGCGGCCCCTGAGCTAAGCATTGGAGGGATACAAACGGCAAACAGGGAGAGGCCACCAGGCATGGAAGACAGCCTGGACAAAGGTTCAGAGGTGGGAGATGAAATCCCATGTACAAGGAATAGTGAGTAGGACCTGGCTAGGATATAAAGGGTGTGAGGGGGAGTGGTATGCAGTAAGCCTTGAGAGATAGGTTGCAGCCAGGTTGTGAAGGGTTTTTAATGCCAGGAGCTATTGCAGCTACTTAGGCAGGGAAGGGATGCAATCATACCTGGACTTTCAAAGTTATCAGTCAGGCAGCTGCAACGAGCATAGGGGAGAGACTGGAGGTAGGGAACCCAATGAGGGGGCTATGGGAAGAGGTGACAAAGGTCCAACTGAGGTGGGGGGCATGTGAGTGCAGAGATGGGAGGAATGAGTAATGCTTAGCAAGGCTTCTTAAACTTTTTCCACTCGTGACCCCTTCAGCGCTTCTTAAACTGTGGGTCCAGAGCCCGTATGGGTTGGTGACCCACAGTTTAAGAAGGACTGCCAGAGAATGAAGAAGAGAAAATCCATGGGCTTACAGATCATCCAGACTCTGAAACGATATTAACGATGTCACGCTTCCTAGCTGGGTGACCCTGGGCAAGTCACTTCACCCTGTTTGCCTCAGTTTCCTCATCTGTAAAACAAGCTGGAGAAGGAAATGGCAAACCACTCCAGTATCTCTGCCAAGAAAACCCCAAATGGGGTCACGAAGAGTCAGACATGACCGAAAAACGACCAAACAACAACAAACAATTCACAATGTTGGCGGCCAAGCCGTCCAGATATTTCACATCATCCAGAAGGAAGCAAAGAGCATGTATGAATTCATCTGACACAGGGCCTGGCCCCTCTCAAGTTAACAGCCCTGGGTACTGAAATTAGCTACCTGCTAGCCCGGAAGGGTAATGATCTTCTGCATAAACACATATTTACCCAATTTTTCAGAATGAGTCTTGTTTACTCAACAAGCCCGAATGGCTCATATGGACCCATTAAGCTCCATTGCATCAATCTACAGAGTGGGGCTGGATAATGAATCAGGACCTTGGAGCTATTACCATGCTAATAAGGATGTGTGTAGCCCAAAATATCACCATGCAGAGACAGCAGCCAAATTCTCCGGCACCAGCAGCTTTCAAGCCCTTCCAATCTGCGCTGTTCCAGCTCCATTGGGTTGGGTTGGGAAGGCAGGCCTAAATGAGAGCCCGCCTACCCAACTTCCCTCTCCAAAAGCAAAGCTATGCTTGACTTATTCGGATACAAGGAAGCAGAGAAAAAAACAGAAACCTACCATGTTCATGCGTGTGCGCCTGGGCGATTTGGTCCGTTAGCACAAGGAGCAGGTGGGGTTTTCCCCCCCAGTATAACATCCAATGACAGCCCCAGAAGCCTCGAAAACCGCTGGCACCAAAGAGTTTAGAACAGTGTTTCACTGAAAAAATCGGGAAAAATAATTTCCCCTTAGGCTGGAGCTGGGAGCAATTTCTTCACACCCACTCCCTCAAATCCCAAGTTAAAATAATAACCCATCATAAAAGGAACAAAACAAAAACAAAATTAAATCATAGGGTCTAGAGCACCTCTGACATGCTCTGTCTGCTTTATGTCTCATTTTCCAGATGAAGATACCGAGGCCCAAGGAGTATGGTGGTTTGTCCAAAGTCACACACAGCTAGTTAAGGAGTACAGTCAGGAGTTGAACTCAGATCCTTGAACTACAAATGCAGCCCTCTGTCTCCCTTCCCTGTTTTCCCATTTGAAATATGTCTTCCCCTTTAGTTCCGTCCATGCTGCTTCCCCGTTTCATCCTACCCCAGCCCCAGTCCTTCTTCTCCCTCTCCAAGATCTTCACTCCTTTTCCCACCAAGCTAGGCTCTTGACCTTTTCACCTCAACTCATTCTCCAGACACAGAAGCTACCATTCAACGGATGTTACAGGCAGCCATACACCCATCCCCCACCTCCCTAATGGCCAGATAGCCACTCATTGGAGGCCCCATTCCATTTCCAGAACTGTGTTCCCCTTGGATCTACTGTGAAAGTCTGTGTTCTCAAAGAGCTCTGTTTTCCAGGGTTTAGCATGTCAGATCTTGAGAACAGGGACTTCAATTATCTGGCATGATTTTATTTATTGAAAAGCACCATGTACACTTTACAAGCGCCGTATAAATATTTAATAATAATAAAATGCTAACAGACCCTTAACAAGGAGAGTGCTGGCCTGATTCCCCCATCTGCATGTGTGTATGTCTGTATCTCTATCTTGACTAATGCACACAGAGACCTGGGCGTGCACATATGTGCACAAATACATGAACACACACACAGACTGTGTAAGAAGCAAGAAACACGCATTTTAATTCCAGCAGGAAAATTCACAGATAATGCTTTATGAATGTCCCAGATCTCCTCTGTCGGTATAAACCCTAGAGTGCTTTTCCCAGCTCTCCTCTTTTGTGCATCTACCCCCCTCCCCAAAGACACACTAGAGTAAAAATAGACAAAAGGAATCAGTTCTTAAATCCTTAGAGATTCCTCCCTCTCGAAGATGTGCTTTTCTTAAGTCCTTTCCATGCTGCCTGGTGGAGCTAAGTTCTGGTCAAAGTGGCAGGTTTTAGCCTAGGATTTTCTGAAATTTCAGGGTAATGTCAACTAGAAAAACTTTAGCACCACCATTTTGTTCATTCATTGAGATGGTTAAAAAGGAATACTGCTCTCAGAATGTTATGTCATTCACTCATTCACATTCATTCAGACTTCGTTAAAAGGAGCTCTGTTCTCAAAGGATTATATCTCATTCATTCGGACTTTGTTCGAAAGGAGTACTGTTCCAAGAGTATTGTTTGTCATTTATTCCTTCACAGTCATTCATTCAAACCTTTTAAAAAAGAAATTTTGCTCCCAGAATATTATGTATCATTTATTCACTCACATTCATTTGTTCATTCATTCATTCTTTCAGACTTGGTTAAAAAGGAGTTCTGCTCCCAGTGTTATATATCATTAATTCACTCACATTCATTCAGACTTTGTTAAAAGCAGCTCTGTTCTTAAAGGGTTATATCACATTCATTCATTCAGACTTTGTTAAAAAGAAGTACTGTTCCCAGAGTATTATACATCATTTATTCATCCACATTCATTCATTCAAACTTTTTTTTTAAAAAAGCAGTTCTGCTCTTAAAGTTATGTACCATTTATTCATTCACATTCATTTGTTCATTCCTTCATTCAGACTTTGTTAAAAAGGAGTTCTGTTCACAGAGTGTTGTG